TTATTGAAGAGTTATTTAGAAGAACAAAAATGAATTGAATAATGTAACCGAATCAAATCAAATCATATATTTTACTGCAGTATAACAATTATAACAAAACATTTAGTAAAAATATATGTAACACTACATCAGCAAGAGAGCTTAGATAGCTTAAAGTTGTTTTCACAAAGCCCTTCTGTAATCCTTAAGAAACATTTTTTTAAGAAGCTGCGGGGTCAAAACTATAGCTAGAGAAGCTGCGGGGTCTAAACTATAGCTAGCGAAGCTGCGGGGTCTAAACTATAGCTAGAGAAGCTGCGGGGTCTAAACTATAGCAAGAGAAGCTGCGGGGTCAAAACTATAGTTAGAGAAGCTGCGGTGTCTAAACTATAGCAAGAGAAGCTGCGGGGTCAAAACTATAGCAAGAGAAACAGCGGGGTCTAAACTATAGCAAGAGAAGCTGCAGGGTCAAAACTATAGCTAGAGAAGTTGCGGGGTCTAAACTATAGCTAGAGAAGCTGTGGGGTCAAATCTATAGCAAGAGAAGCTGCGGGGTCAAAACTATAGCTAGAGAAGCTGCGGGGTCTAAACTATAGCTAGAGAAGCTGCGGGGTCAAAACTATAGCTAGAGAAGCTGCGGGGTCAAAACTATAGCTAGAGAAGCTGCGGGGTCAAAACTATAGCTAGAGAAGTTGCGGGGTCAAAACTATAGCTAGAGAATCTGCGGGGTCAAAACTATAGGTAGAGAAACAGCGGGGTCGAAACTATAGCTAGAGAAGCTGCGGGGTGAAAACTATAGGTAGAGAAACAGCGGGGTCGAAACTATAGCTAGAAGCTGCGGGGTCAAAAATGAAAAAATCAATTTTCAAAATCACAAACGTGGATATCTAATTAATGGTCGGACAAAGCTTTAAGAGTACCCTGGTGAATCCATCACTTGAAATTAGGTTTACAGTCCCTTTAACTAACAAAAAAATGTTTCCAGATTCTGGATTTCCTTCAGTATAGATTGATGTAAATAAAATCAGAATTTAAGAAAGAATTGTAAAAAATGTGTTCCAATAATGTGACTTTATCCAAATTTAATGTTTAATCTGATTTTAATTTGCTTTTTTCATGATATTTTAATATATTTTTCAACTAATTCTTACAAACTCTCTACGTTGTAAATACTGACTTCGCCCCTTTTCCTCCTTTCCTCCGGTTTAGTTTTACACGTGTTTCAAGCTAATCAAACATTTTTATGTTTATACAAAATTCAATGACTCCTGAGCCCGCAACTTAAGACAGGGTATTGTTATGAAACCTAGTTTCGGAAATATTTAGTCTAGTTTTAGAGTCTCTTATTTTTCATTTCTTTAATCAAACTCTTCACAAAGTCACAAAAAGCAAACTGAGAAGTTACGTTCAACGATATTTAAATTTCCGGCTCTGAATTTCTGATAAATAAGTTCTTTGCAACCTTTCTCCATGTTACTGTTACTGCGACTATATTTCTAGTTGTAAATTCATGAATTATACACTCACAATATTCTGGACACGTTATTTTAGCCCATGATAATAGAACTGGGAACAGCTGAAAACAAGGGTGCTTAAAACTAAAGGAACTCTGATTTTCTAACCCATATCTTTGCAACCCAATGTCGTAGACCTCAGATGTTTCAAACCATGAATTCTGTTAGAACAAGTAATCTAGGATTAAATTATCAAATTATCAAAAAAAATTATTCTAATAATTATCATACCAAATTGTACGCATTTTTAATGTGGTTCCACTACTTTAAAGATTCTGCATTTTAATCTTTGTAACTTTTCAAACCCAAATAAATATTGGGTTTTCCAACTATTGTAAATTGTAAATACATTTAATTTGATGATCAGGATGTTTTTTTAAAATGGCGACATTTATTTTTCTTAATATACGTCAATACATCTATAAGAATTAAGAATGGCATGAAACATGTCGAAATATATGTATATATTCAAAACTGAAATGTTTTTTCTTACCTGTCCGATCTCTCCGACAGACATACATACTAAATTAGATATAGGGGAAGGAACTCCGAAAAACGCTTCGAATTTCTATAGTTTAAAACTCCCAATCCTCGTGTCCTTGAAATTATCTCTGGATTATTCAGTATACACTATAAAGACACTGACCAATTTAACAACTCAGAACAAAACTCTTCAGTATACACTAAACAGAGACTGACCAATTTAACAACTCAGAACAAAACCCTTCAGCTTATAACTCACTCTCATATTTTATCTTGAGTTTCCAGAATCTTATATTTTGATCTTGATTTCAACAATAATTCTGACATTAATACCTAGAATCGTTATTCTTTATATTATTACATGCTTTGAAGTTGAAAAAAAATAGTTGTGAAATCTTAACAATTTACTAGTCATAAAACAATAACGATGAAAATCTATCAAACCTTTCTAATTCTGTAACATTGGATTGATCAAAGGACATTTAGAGATCACATTGGACTGAGCAATGGACAAATATAAGAGTACATTGGATTAATCAATGGACAAATATTAGACTACATTTGAAGGACTGATCAATGGACAAATATTAGATTACATTTGAATGACTAATCAATGGACAAATATGAGACTACATCTGACTGACAGATCAATGGACAAATATAAGATTACATTTTACTGACTGATCAATGGACAAATATGAGACTACATCTGACTGACTGATCAATGAACAAATATAAGACTACATCTGACTGACAGATCAATGGACAAATATAAGATTACATTTTACTGACTGATCAATGGACACATCTGACTGACTGATCAATGAACAAATATAAGATTACATCTGACTGACTGATCAATGGACAAATATAAGATTACATTTTACTGACTGATCAATGAACAATTATGAGTTTACACTTGATTGATCAATGGATAAATATAAGATTATATTGGACTGATTAATGGACATATAAAAGAGAACATTGGAATGATCAACGTATAAAGATGAGATTACATCGGAATAACCAATGGACGAATTTAAGATCAAATTAGAATGATCAAGGGACAAAAATTAAATCCTATTCGACTGATTCAATGGACAAAAATAAGATCACATAAGAATGATCAATGGATAAGTATGACATCATATTGGAATGATCAATAAGATCACATTGGAATAATGGACAAATATAAGCTCACATTGGATTGATCAATGGACAAATATAAGATCAGATTGGACTGACTAAAGGACAAATATAAGATCACATTGGATTGATCAATGGACAAATATAAGATCACATTGGACTGATCAATGGACATATATAAGATCACATTGGACTGATCAATGGATAAATGTAAAATCACATTGGATTGATCATTGGACAAATATAAGATCACATTGGAATGACTAATGGACAAATATAAGCTCACATTGGATTGATCAATGGACAAATATAAGATCAGATTGGATTGATCAATGGACAAATATAAGATCACATTGGACTGATCAATGGACAAATATAAGATCCCATTGGACTGATCAATGGACAAATATAAGATCACATTGGACTGATCAATGGGGAAATATAATATCACATTGGACTGATCAATGGATAAATGTAAAATCACATTGGACTGATCAATGGATAAATGTAAAATCACATTGAACTGATCAATGGACAAATATAAGATCACATTGGACTGATCAATGGGCAAATATAATATCACATTGGACTGATCAATGGGCAAATATAATATCACATTGGACTGATCAATGGATAAATGTAAAATCACATTGGACTGATCAATGAATAAATGTAAAATCACATTGGACTGATCAATGGACATATATAAGATCACATTGGATTGATCAATGGATAAATGTAAAATCAAATTGGATTGATCATTGAACAAAAATAAGAATATATTTTACTATTTAAAAGAAAAATCAAGGAAAATAAAACAATCCTGGTTTTAAAGTTTAGAAAAAGAAATTGAGCTATTTTCTTGTTTTTGACAACGATTTAATTCCTTAGAGTCTATTGTCTGAACTTTTCAATCTAGACGTAATATCAAAACTGTTTTGGCAAAACCACATTTTCAGCAACTTAGATATTCTTTTAGTGTTACAATGTTGCAAGCAACGTACACACTTTTGAGCGTCAGGAATTGAATGTCCTTTTCCTTAGGCAAGTTTTATAAACACGTGACTTCTTATTCTATTACACAAGGCATCAAGCTGGATAAGCAAATGTGTAATATTTAAGATTGTTTAATTATCATCATAAATCAAGTCAAGCAGCTTTAGGGGTGAATTATTTAGATCCCCCCCCCCCCCTCCTCCTCCACGGGTTTCAAGGAGTGAGTGGAAAAATCAATTGATACCTTTTCACATTGTGTATATATATATATTTGTAAGTATTGAATCTCAATAAAATGTTATCCCAAAAATGTTGTATTTTCCTTAAGTCTTCTTAGGTAAATCTAAATTATCATTATCATTTATTTTTTCTACAAACAAAATTATACAAATAAACATATTAGTTTTATAACGTTCAAACCTACATCAAATCTTATTAATTATCATTGTTATTATTATTATCATTATTATTATCAATGTTCTTATGATCAATAAGTATTATTGCAATTATTATAATTTAATTGATATTATTAATGATATCAAAATTATAAAAGTATATTATTTTTACTAGCAGCGGGAACCCCTCAAAACAGTTTATCTATATTATTCCTTTCATTATGAAATTTAGCTTCAAGGATATTGTAATTGGAAAAACTGATTATTATTGTAATTATATTCATCATTATTATAATCTTATGACAATATAAGATTCTTTTTTTTTAACATTTCAAATTTGAGTCGGACAATTTATATTGGAAAGAAACTCTGAAAACACAACGAATTCATTAATGCATATTTACGTTTCATACTATTTCTAAAATGTGGCAACTTTACAGATATCGCGGGGTTGTGTTACATAACTCAGCGTGTGCTGTAAAATGTGCCTCCTGCAGTCTGCTGTATTCCGTCCAACTCACGTTCCTTCATTGTGCACAAGTATATATCTGGTCACGTGTACTGCTGGAGACACGGGGCTCACGAGGCTTTTTCTCTAGATACACGGGACTACACTCCTCCTCCTAGTCCTCTCTAGTAGAGAACAATACTTCTACTCGGATCTCAGTCTATAATATTAGTTCAGCTCAATACTCCATACAGAGTAGAGACGTGAGTAACTCCGATCACGGTGATAATCGTTTCGATACTGACATCAGTATTGTTGATAAACATTGTGTGTACTGTAGAGTGTGTACTGTAAAGTGGCTTTAGCCGGATTTCCTACTTAATCGTGGTGTACCGACTACATTTAGTACACAATCAGATTACAGGGCTGTCCTTAGCTCTGTTAATTTGTTTAATTAGTGTCAAATTCAATTTTTCAGGTTTTCTCCCTCGATCTCCATCCCCCGTCAAGTAACTATTAAAAACAACTAAATTAATTGATTCATGAAAGTGTACTTATTTACATTTTTTTCCAAGCCTAGCAATTAAACATTGTTTTTATGAAAATAATCAAAGAACTCATGATATTAGAAGTTGTTTTACCGTAAAACAAAGTATTTTTCGATTTCTTTATTTATCTTAAACTTTATTGACTTCCGATTTCAGCAGTTCAAATTGTTCGCTTCTTGTACTCTTGCATCCTGTACTTTCAGCAGTAAGTTTTTAATAGTACAGTAGGCCCTGTACTTCTTAAAGTAAGTGTTTTTTTGTACAAAACCTGTACAACCTAAAGTAAGTGCACTGTAAAACAGAGTTTCGAGCTCTTAAAGTAAAGTCACAGCTTTTCCTGTACTTCTTAAAGTAAGTTTTTGTTAAGTACCCTAGTCTACGTTCTAAAGTAAGTTGTTAATGTATGGGGAGTAAAAATTAAATACCCCCTAAGTCACAAAAATAAAAGATCATTTTTGCATTTAATTATATCTAAAGTTTTAATCTTTAAAAAAAACAAGAAAGACGATCTTTATATTTGTGAAATAAATGTACTGTGTCTTACTTCCTTCTGTACATGTACCGCGTTACAGTGAGTACATAAAACGTAGTCTTTGACCTGAATTGTGTACGTACAAATTATTGCATGCAATCGTGACTATATCACCGTGAATCAGTATCTTATGTACATTCTATGTACAGTGAATAGTGATAGATTAAATTCATATGTGTCACTGCCTAGTGCTTTATTATGGCTGTTTTTATGTAAGAAATACATAAAATGTAATGTTAAAAATCTAATTGAAGAATTGCTAAAAACATGAAGAATTTTTTATTTAATTGTTACCCAAATAGTTTTAGAAATTAAGGCAAACTAAACGTTTTTTGACATATATATTTATACAAAAACATGGATCTTAGTGGAATGTGTTAGAAAATGCGCTGAGAATTAATTTTATTGATTTAATGGATTCAATCTTTTTCAATTTTCTGTTAATTTCTTAAAATCCCTATTTATAGCTTTATGATCCAATATGATATTTGAATAAAAAAAAGAAATAAAATCTTTACTTGTTATCTCTTATGTCTCATATATTCTGTGGTAACCCTATATTTATTAATACTAAAATACAACTTCTGAAATTCATGGTTTAAGCAATTAAAATTATTTTTTTTGATGAAAAATCTCTAAGAGTTTGTTAAGATATTTCAGTAAGGGAGCAAAATCGTTGATAATTTCATGACCTCTCTGACCATAAAACAATGGCAAAACTCTTTATATTTCATTTCCATGAAGTAGTTCAACATCAAAATGACTAATTATGTTGGTATCAATGAAAATCATTCTGGGTTAACTCTTCCTCTGAATCCTGAAATATAACAATTTCTTGGATTTGACCTTTATCTCGATTTAAAGAAATTGCATCCCATCTAACTGTATTTAAAGGGACTCTAAAGGAAAAATTAATGGAGGTTAATGCAGTATAGTGGTCAAGTGTCTCTGTCTGCATCACGTGACCAGTATACTGCACTCCCATTGGTGGGAGTTCTTGTGACGTAATACGGACATATAATTAATATTATCAATTATATCTTTTAAAAATGAAATAAGAATTATAAATAATAAGTGGAGAAAACAATTAGGTTTCTCCAGGATATCTTTGTTTTCAGATTGGTTGCTTATTTGCTGAATATGATCTGTTTAAACCTCTATTTCTATACAAAATTGTCTATATATGAATTTTCGTATAAATTTGACATTATTTTTGTATTAATTTCTCGAGACAGGAACATCAGATATAACTTGCATTGGTCGATCAAGAGCTAAAGTGATTAGCTTTCAGCCTATACCCCTTTTAATTTTTCCTTTACTGTCCCTTTAATAATAAAAAAAATATTCTTTGCACTAAAGAGCTTTAATGATGTGGATTATTTAAATCTTGACCGAAAGACGACATTTTTATTAATTATCGTCTTTCGAAGTCAATAGATTTTGGTTGAAATGTAACTTGCATCTATATTTGTACTATTTTTTAGTTATTTTTAATTGTTGACACTTTAGAAATCTTCAAGTTCATAAAAGGAACAACTTCTGTTACAGATAAGAGGAACTGAACAATGGTGAGTAAAAAATGTTATTTTGATTAAAATAGTTTTTTTTTATTTTTCCATAATTCTTAGTAATTCATTAAAACCATCACTATATGAACATAACATGTTTTTTTTTTAATAATGGATTACTAAAATAAGCCAATTATCTTATTTTTGCGAATTTTTAGTCAGACCCTTGCGATCAACCCAGCTTGCCACGAGCGGAAAGGTCCCCATACCTGTCAGCCAATAGTGTGGCGCACATGTACGCCATGGGTTGCGCCGGCCCACCTGACCTACAGGATAATTCAGGCTCAAACTCCGCGCCAAGATTATCTGTAAACTCTTCAGACCAGGTGAATATTTTTCCATACTTTAAAGATTTAAAAAAATGTTTAATATATAGATATCAACCTAAACCTTTTTTAAATTTATTTTTCATTTTTTCATAATTTAAAGATATGAAACCAAAACCAGAATTTTACATTTTTCATACCAGAATTTTTCATTTTTTCATAATTTAAAGATATGAACCAAAACTAAAACTTTTCATTTTTTTAATGATTTAAAGATATGAACCAAAACCAGAATTTTTCATTTTTTCATAATTTAAAGATATGAACCAAAACTAAAACTTTTCATTTTTTCATGATTTAAAGATATAAACCAAAACTAAAACTTATCATTTTTTCATGATTTAAAGAAAATATCTTTAAAACTTTAAAATCATTTAAAAAATGTATTTCTCGCCAGGGTCGACGAATGAACATCTCCGACCAAATATCCAACAATAATAGAAGGAGTAATATCCCTGACGACCTGGCGTGCTTTCTACAAAAACAAAATCAACGTCAGGTTAGAAAAGTATTTTTTTTATGAATTAGGTGAAATTAATTCACAGGATCTATATTCAACATATAGATCTATATTCAACATATAGATCTATATTCAACATGGGATCCGGATCAAGATTTAACAATCAAATTACATTGAGAAATTTCAATTATTTTTAACACAAACATTTGTGTTGGCTCATTATTTTGTAAGCATTTTAACATTTTCCTGGATCCGGTTCCAGATCCGGATCCAGGAAAATAAAAGATAAGCTTTTTATAAATTCAGATCCGGATCGGATTCGGCAGATCTGGATCTTGAGAATTGATAAAGTAATACTATTATTTTTGCATTTATAAAAGCATATTATTTACACATTTTTTAATTATTGTACTTTTATTCTTGAATATCCCGGCCTTAACCCAGATATCCCCCCTATATCTGATATCCGTCCTACATCAGATACCCGCCCTATATTTGATATTGGTCCTACATCAGATATCCGCCCAATATCTTATATCCGCCCTACATCAGATATCCGCCCTATATCTGATATCCGCTCTACATATGATATCCGTCCTACATACGTCCTAAATCCCTGTCCTCCAAACTCCCAGTTTATCCATGATATCCGTCCTGACTCTTCTAGCCCTCTCCTCTCATGATTGCCGTCTTACTTTTTTGTACCAATCCGCTATCCGCTATATCCCTGATATCCGTACTTAACCCTTATTTCCGTCCTTGCTTCTTGGTATCTAATCATTTCCTGATATCCGGATAACTCCTTGAACCCGTCCTATCTCAAATATCCATCTCATACCTAGATATTCTAAAATACGTTCTAACCCCTGATATTTAGGCTCGAATGGAAACCACAATGAGATCCTTCCCCAGCTGTAGCGATCAGGAAACTGAGAAACCGGATCTAAAAAGAAAAAGAACCAATCACGAGGTAAACACTTAAAAATAATATTCTTTAATGGGAAAATTTACTATAATTTAAGGATCGAAAATCAGTTTGAAAGTGAAAAAATAAAACTTGAACGTTTAGGTTACCGTACAGGGGGGGGGGTCGTGATATCATGGGTAATTACATTTCTCCGAGTACACTCAAAATGGCGTACTTAAACCTTTTCATGATACCGAAGCCAAACAAATCTTTTTTGTTTTTAACAGAAAATATTATTGAAGATCTATAGTAAATTTTGAGGAAAATTAAAAATACGTTCCCAACATTTTCATCTAAATCCAGAATAATATATAAAATATGTTCACGTTGACGCAGTAAATAGAACTGATTTTTCACGTGAACACATGTTTATATGAAGAATTTTAATTGTAAAAATCATAAACTTTTATCTTCAAAAAAACGTTCTTTAATTCTTTAAAGGAACCAAGTTTTGACTTAAATTTTAAGTTCATGGTTAAATGCCACTTCTGACTTAATTTAAACCTGAACTTTGACCGTGAGGTTAAATATTTAACCCTGTGGTTAAATATTTAACCTCACCGAAATCGACGAGTTAAAATTTAAACACAGGGTTAAAATCTTGAAATCCTGCATTTTCCCTATTTGTCTATTATTCA